AGAGAGAGAGAGAGAGAGAGAGAGAGAGAGAGAGAGAGAGAGAGAGAGAGAGAGAGAGAGAGAGAGAGAGAGAGAGAGAGAGAGAGCGAGAGACGAGAGAGAGAGAGAGAGAGAGAGCAGAGAGAGAGAGAGAGAGAGAGAGAGCGGGAGAGAGCGAGGGAGAGCGAGAGAGAGCGAGAGAGAGCGAGTGAGAGCGAGAGAGAGAGAGAGAGCGAGAGAGAGCGACAGAGAGCGAGAGAGAGCAAGAGAGAGCGAGAGAGCGAAAGAGAGAGAGAGAGAGAGAATAGAGAGAGAGAGAGAGCGAGGGAAGAGAGAGAGAGAGAGAGAGAGATAGAGAGAGAGAAAGAGAGAGAGAGAGAGAGAAGAGAAGAGAAGCGAAGAGAAGAGAGAGAGCGAGAGAGAGAGAGAGAGGGAGAGTGAGAGAGAGAGGAGAGAGCAGAGAGAGAATATAGAGAAGAGAGAGAGGAGAGAGAGAGAGAGAGAGGCAGATATAGAGGCAGAGAGAGAGGCACAGAGAGAGAGGCAGAGAGAGAGAGATAGGCAGAGAGAGAGAGAGGCAGAGAGAGAGGCAGAGAGAGAGAGAGGCAGGGAAAGAGAGGCAGAGACAGAGAGAGGGCAGAGAGAGAGAGAGAGAGACAGAGAGAGCAGAGAGAGAGAGAGAGAGGCAGCTCAGTCACACTTAAATCCAGATTCGTCCTCACCGAGTCCCACCACCAAGGGAGCGCCAGCAAGGAGATGCACATATGGGGATCCCCACGCAGTGAATAATTTTTCTAGTAGAAATACTACTACTACTGCTACTACTACTACTACTACTACTGCTGCTACTACTACTACTACAATTACTACTACTACTACTGCTGCTACTACTACTACTACTACTACTACTACTACTACTACTACTACTATTACTACTACTAATGATAATAATAATGCTACCATTATTCATTGTACTACTAATCATGCGCCGTCGCGTTATCCTCCTCGTCGTTCAGGGGGGTGAGTGTTCAGGGGGTACCCTTCCAACAGCTCGTGACGTCAGGATGCCATAGCCGTTCCCATGGCTCCATAGACAGACTTCTGGCCCGTGGAAGCGACTTCGCCGATGGAGTCGCCACAGCCGCGGCTTAGAAGACGGGGGGGGCGTTCCGAGGCCGAAGTCCAGGCCCACGATGCCGACAGATCCTTCATCATTCGCTTTTTGATGTTCTCGCATCCTCTCGCCCGAGGGGTCCCCAGTTGACCTGCTATCGCCCCCCCAGCCTGGAGGCAACACCTGTGGGAAACCCGTTTTCAAGTTTGCTCAGGAGCCCCTGGTGGGCGCCGCCCTGATCGCTTCTTCTTTGCTTCGCCCTCCCCCGCCTGCTCGGGGTCCTGGGGCCAAGGTTGCCGACCTTCCACAGGGCAAGCAAACCGAAGGGCGCGCTCACCAGTGGGTCGGGTCTCAGGATCGCTGTACGTGAAAGATCTGTGGCACACGAGCTTTCACCGAGACCCCCAAGGCCCGACGGGATCCGGATACGTGTCCAGAATACAGCTTGGCCCTCTCCAAGCTTACCGAGAACAGCAACGGACGCACGATAGACGTTCCTGACTGGTTCAATGCAGCAAGCTGGCTTCTCGCTTGCTGGGATTGTGGCGCGTTTTCAATTTGTGTGGCGAGAGGCTTCCAGAAGCCCTGTCCCCAAGCCCCCACCCAGCAATAATAAAGTGACAGTTTCAAACTGCCGCAGAGAGCGCCGACACCCCAAGCATGGGAAATCAGGCCCAGTGGCCTTCGCTGAGCCCATACGTCTCGGTATGTTCAGCCGAGATACGCAGCCTGTAATTCAACCGTATGGGGCACCTTCAGTCAGATGCGATGGTCCTCCTCCTCCTCCTTTTCCTCCTCCTTCTCCTCCTCCTTAGCCAATCCGGCTCACGTTCTTTTGGCTCGAACGGCTGTTAGTTTGGACACACCTGCGTTTCTGTTCTGTGGTACTTTGGTCGATAGCGAGCTCCATGTCGGTACAACGCGATGGTTCTGCCGCAGTTTCTAGTCGAGATGCTCCAGCACGCGGTGATTCTTTGCACCATGATTGGACATCAAGGCATCCTTGGGCTGCTGCTGACCGTCGCCCGGCCGCTTGAGGCAGCTCTGCTCGAGGTGGTCGGCAGCCCTGGGTATCTGCTATCCCACTACCTCGCCGTGCTTCCTCTTGTGCTGTGGTTGTGGGTGGCAGTCACCATGTTCGTGGTTGTGGTCATCAAGCGTTTGCTTTTCCCGTTCGGCATGAAAGCCGCTGGCACCGAACACAGGAAGAAAGGCAGATGGGAGTACGAGGTGAACTCCTTCGGCTATCTCAGGTGGTGGATTGCAGACCATGTCTTCAGATGCACCAAGCCTCTACTGTACCACGCTGTAGCCCGTCGCAGCCGTATGATCAGTTGGTGGTGTTGGGCCATGGGCATGCACATCAATCCCAACGTTGCAGTGCTTGCAACTGACATTGATGATATTGGAGAGTGGGATTTCTGGGAACTCGAAGGTCAGGCACCGTCTTCAATCTCCGCGCATATGGTTTTGATTTTGACGAGGATGGCAAACGGATCCTGTACATCGAACCGCAGACGCAGAATCGTTCTGATGCTGACAGCGAGATGAGCAGCCCCGTGCCGATCGTTCTGACTTGGATTGCGTTTGTTCCATCGACTGCTGCATTATGGATGGCGTCAGTCTTCAACGAACTGCTGATTTCTGGGGCAAGGAATTACCACTCATTCACCTCGTACTTTGCAATGCTCGTGTGCTTCTGCACCTTTGCCTTGTTCAACACGATCATGCTCAAGATGGCTTTAGAAATTCCATGTGGTCCCTGTGAGCTTGGAAATATGCTCGTTGAATGTATGGATCTTCTGCCTGCAACGCAATCGTTCAGCGTCCTGAACACATGGTGGCTCCGTGCTGCTGGAGTTGGCGTGCAAAGCAACAATATTTTCAGCTGTGCCCCAACGCCTCGAAACGCTTCCACAGTGGTCATCGGTGACAACGTCTTCTTGTCCAACACAATAATCACGGGCCCTGCCACACTGCGCGACGACTGCCTTCTCGACCTCAAGGCTCGGGTGCGCGAGCACTGCGTTCTGAACCAGATGGCAGTAGTGGGTGGACACACGATCCTGAGGAGGGGCACCACAGTGGATGCCGGAGCTGTTATCGTACGGCAGTGGGATGTGCGCAGCGACGCACAGGCGCCGCCGTCGCCGACGCCTTGGCAGGCAGTGCGGAGGCAGAATCTTTCGAGCAGCGTTCCCGGGGACCTTCTGGAGGCAGAGATGCGTAAGCTTGGCGGTGGCACCGGCACAGCTCGGTCAGGCGAGCGCCACGTCTACTTCCCAACCTGGCAGTCGCACGTTGCCTATGTGCTTCCTCGCCTGCTGCAGCTGCACCTTCTGCTGGCGGTCATGGCTGGCTGCATGTGCCTCGCCAACAGGGCCTGCGGGGCATCATTCTTCAGCTCGACCATCTCGGCATCGTCGAGCACAGGCAACCGGTCGGACGAAAGACTGCGCGCACTGGGATTTCTGGGATTCTTCGTGGGCTTCACCTTCCTGTGCCTGCCGCTGACCATGGTGCTCGCCAAGTGGTCGGTCCTGGGTCGTTGGCAGCGGTGCGACGTCTCCGAGCACTTTCCGACGACGTCGGCCCCTTGCTGGCGCTACTTCTGCTTCGTGGCAGCCCCGATCTGGATTGTGGTCCGCAGCTCCTGGCAGCCTCGATTGTATGGGACTCTGTTGCAGAACCAAAGGTACCGCTGTATGGGTTCTGAGATCGGCAGGCGTGTTCTGATATTTAGCAATGGGGTGGAGGACTACGACCACCTGCGCATCGAGGGTGATGCAGCGATCGGCCATGGCTGCTTCGTGCTCGGACACCTCTTCGAGGGACGAGGCCTGTCCTTCGGCAAGGTGCACCTCGGAGAGGGTTGCAGCGTCCTATCCGACCGGCAGATCTGGCCTGGGGCGGTCATCCCTGCCTTCGCCACCGTGGCTCGACGAGGCCCGCCGATCCGGGGCGCCTGCGGGGGCGAGCCAGCGAAGAGCTCGGCCCCCGCCCTCCCTGGCCTCTCCCTGGGGCAGCAGGGGGACAAGGAAACGCCCGATTCGGAGCGTGGGTTCCCAGAGATCCGACGTCGTGTTTTTTCCGATCCTCCTCCTCCTCCTCCTCCTCCTCCTCCTCCTCCTGAGTCAGGGTTCGCGTCGTCGCCGTTCGGCGGTTCGCGACCGCGCGGCCGCCGCGGCGGCGGCGGCGCTGCTCTGCGCCCCGCGGGGCGCCTGCGCGGGCAGGAGGAGGAGGAGGAGGAGGAGGAGGAGGAGGAGGAGGAGAAGAAGGATGAGGAAGAGGAGGAGAAGGAGAAGGAGGAGGAGGAGAAGGAGGAGGAGAAGGAGGGGGGGGAGGAGGAGGAGGAGGAGGAGGAGGAGGAGGAGGATTTTTCGAGTACCCCACTGCACGATGTCAAGATCAGACTATTTCAACATTCACGTTTGGGGCGCTCCCAGATTCCGAAGCGGCCTCGTTCAGAATTTAGCCGCACGAATGAGAGCAGCCCTATGGACTTTCCGAGGTTGGGAGACCTTTTATCAACTGCTGGAGCGAGCCACGGTGAACCAGAGAGCCTACAGATTCGCGCTCACTGGTCCCTGGTCCCCGCCATTCTGGGCGGACTGCAGCATTGTAGAACACCTCAGAGAAGCGAGTCTCGGTTTCCCCTCCTCTCCTTCCTTGGCCCCGATTGGTTCTCTGGCGCTTTCGGCGGCCCGCCCCGTCCTCCAGGCTCTGTCTGATCCGTCACCCACCGCTGGACCTCGCCCGAAGCTTCAAAGAACGCTGGCGGCTGCCCTTGAGTCTGGATTGTTCCCGAATGAGGTTGCTCACACTTTAAGCTCGCGGCTAAAGACCTGGTTCCCAGCCCTGACTGCAGAGATAGATCAACTGAATTGGGATCGAGTGCGGGAGGCATGCCGGCAACTTCCTCCGAATCATAGTTCCAGTGTAATCAAGACCCTCGTCGGAGGGTGGACCACTTCGGCCAAGTTTCAAGATGCAAAGATATGCCGTTTCGGATGCTCCAGCGGCAGAGACCATGTCCCACACTATCTTTGTTGCGACCGTGTGCTCGGTTGGGCTGCTGTCATTCTCAACTCTCCCATCCCTGCTGATCTGCTTGACCGTCTGGGCCTTCGCCATCCTACCCCCTCTCTTTTCTCGTTTTTGCTTGTCGCTCATTTGCTGTACACCACCTTGATAAAGATCCCAGCACCGATCCCGCAGCATGTAATCCAGGCTGCGGTACCACAGGTCCGAGCTGCACTTCGGCGAGGCGGGTAGAGTGCCAGCGAGGGCTGGCTGAGGTAGTGGATCATCGAACTCGTGGCGCCTCATGCTACGAGCCAGGAGGAGGAGGAGGAGGAGGAGGAGGAGGAGGAGGAGGAGGAGGAGGAGGGCCAGGGCGAGAGGCCCCGCTGCTCGGGGCCCGTCCGCCTGTTCCTTACGCGCATGCGTTCCGGCTTCGCAGTAAATATTCTACCGATTCGTCAATCAGTCTGGTTAATGTGAACACGAAAAAAGATTCGTCTCAGCATTTATACTAGCAGTCGTAAGTCTTAGCATTGGTATCAATATCATTGTTTCTAGTTTTAGTATGGCTGATAGTATGACTCGTATGGGTACTGTCGTGTAGCAGGTGCGTGCGTGTTTGCTTTTTACGTGTGTTCTTCCGGCCATCCTTCGGTCCTCCTCTCCTCCTCCTTGCTCTCATCTCTCTTCGAAAGATGCCCGATCCGTTTTTCCCCTGCAAAGGGGTCTTAGCGGATTCGTATGGTCAGGTGAGGTGCGCCACCGATTTTCACGGCCCGCCCGGGTGCCCGGGTGCCCGCGCGCCCGGGTGCCTTATAGCCCTACAGCCCTATAGCCTTATAGCCCTTTAGCCCTATACCCCTATAGCCCGATAGCCCGATAGACCTATAGCCCTATAGCCCTATAGCCCTATAACCCTATAGCCCTATAGTCCTATAGCCCTACAGCCCTACAGCCCTATAGTTTTATAGTCCAATAGCCCTACAGCCCTATAGCCCTATAGCCCTATAGCCCCATAGCCTTGTGGCCCTATAGCCCAATCGCCCTGTAGCCCTATGGCCCTATGGCCCTACAGCCCTATAGCCTTATAGCCCTGTAGCCCTATAGCCTCATAGCATTATAGCTCTATATGCCTATAACCCTATAGCCCTATAGCTCCATAAACCTATAGCCCTTTGGTCCTATAGCCCTACAGCCCCATAGCCCTATATACATATAGCCCTATGGCCCTATAGCCCTATAGCCCCATAGTTCCACAGCCCCATCGCCCTATAGCCCTATGGCCCTATGGCTCTATACCCCCATAGCCCTTCAAACCTAAAAAACTATAGCCCCATATCTCCATAGCCCCATAGCCCTATAGCCCTAACACATGTATGGTTGGAGATTATCTCCAGTATCATTCATTGCTTTAAACTGGGTTGTCGTGTACTCCATACGGTAGTGGCATCCAGTAGCGACCTAGATACATCGTGCCACCCACCATGTAGATACATGCTAAAAATAAATAGGCCCCTCCCCCCGGCCTGGACCGGCCGACCCCGCAGTCATCGGCAGAAACCCGCTGGTCCCCTCTCGTTTCGCTCCCCAGAGGCGGCCCGGAAAGGCCAACTGGGTGCCAAAACGAGCCAAGAGGGTGCCAAAACGAGCCAAGAAGGTCCCGAGCTGCCCAATGCGGCCCAGGAGGACTCCCAGAGCACTCCCAGGTTCGTGGACGGACCCCCCCAGTCCAGGGACGGGCTCCCCAGTTCCCGTTTGGGGGCGGGCCTGCGCCGTCACAGCGCCGTCGTGGGGGCCTGTTGGGGCGACATTTGGGTGTCTGGGACCGTGTCGGAGCGTCGGGAAGCTGCACAGGCAAAAACGCTGAAATGCACCAAGAACCAAAGGAACAACGATGATGTTGGTTTCTTGGGGCCCCTTTGGGAAGGCTCTTGGGGACCCCGTGGGCCGTGCGTTTCTTGGGACCGCGTCGAGGATCGTCAGGAGTGTCTCGCGGCGTCTGGTGGGTAGTTGGTGGGTGCCGTTGGGTGGCCTCCTGGGGCGTCCTGGGAGGCTCCATGCAGGGGACGTGTGGGGGACTCCATGGGGTTGTCGTGCGAGCTGCTGGGAGCCTCTTGAGGCCTCCAGGGGCGGAGAGCTCCAAAGGTTGGGGGGGCGCTCTTGAGCTGCCTTGAAGGCCTCGTGGGCCGCCTCGGTGACTGCAACCCTCTTGGAAGACTCTCGCGGCCCTTTTCAGCCGTGTTGGGGCTGTCTTGGGCCGTCTAATGGGGGCGTGCCTGGGCCGTCTCGGCGCCCTCGTGGGGGCCTGTTGGGTTGAAATTTGGGTGTCCGGGACCAGCTTGGAGCGTCGGGAAGCTGCAAAGGCAGGAACGCTGACGTGTACCAAGAACCGAAGGAACATCCATGATTTTGTCTTCTTGGGATTTTTTTGAGAGTGCTCTTGGGGACCCTGTTGGCCGTGTTGGAAGCCTTGTGGGCCATCTGGAGGCCATCTTGCTAACGATCTGTCCGCGTTTCGGGGCCTCTTGGAGGCTTCTTGCGGCCCTTTTCTGCAATGTTGGGGCTTGCTTGGGCCGTCCTGGAGCAGCCCTGGGCCGTCTCGGCGGCCCAGTGGAAGCCCGTTTGGATTTTGGGTGTCCTGGACCGTCTTGGAACGTCGGGGAGCTGAACAGACAGAAACGCGAAAATGCACCAAAAACCTAAGGAAAATCACTGATTTTGGCTCCTTGGGGCCCATTTGGGAATACTCCTGGGGACCCCTTGGGCCGTGTTGGAAGCCTTGTGGTCCATGCGGAGGACACCTTGGGCGTGTTGGAACGATATTTCCGCGACTGTAGGCTTCTTGAAGGCTTGTCGCAGCACTTTGCAGCTGTGTTGGGGCGGTTTTGGGCCGTCCGGGGGCGCCCCTGGCGGCCCAGTCCCGCCATGTAGTGTCGGGGGCCCCCTCCCGGGCCCCCCCCGCTTCGTGCGCAGGGCCTCTTGGGCAGTCTGTAAAGCCGTGAAGGCCGACAAGTCGTATATGATAAACATGTACGTTTTCCCGCAGGAATTCAATGATTGTGGCTTCTTGGTGCCCTCCTGGGAGTGCTCTTGGAGGCCTCTTGGGACGCCTCGGAGCCTTCTTGGACCATCTTGGGGCCATCTTGTGCCGTCTTGGGTGACTCGGGGCCTTCTTGGGCGTCTTGGGCGCCGTTTTGGGGCCAACTTGGCCGTCTTAGGGGCCAACTTGGCCATCCTTCTCCCTCCCCCTTGTCGCTTCAGTCCTCCTTTCGTCCCCTGTGATAGGGGCTTCGCCAACTACGCGCATGTAGCGAAGATCTACCCCCAAGGGGGGCATGATCGAAGACAATGGGGGCGTGTAGCGAGGGTTCGGGATATACATGTTAAATGGCACGCGAGCAGATACGAGCGATCAGTCTTAAACTGTGTGCTGGTGTTGAGGTTATTGCTGTTGCTGTTGTTGGTGTTGGCGATTGCTGTTGTTGTTGTTGTGGTTGCCGTTGCTGCTGGTGTTGGTTGTTGTTGGTAGTGTGGTAGTTGCAGCTGTTGTTGTTGTCGTTGTTGTTGCTGTGGTGGTTGCTGTTATTGTCGTTGCTGTTGCTGCTGCTGCTGCTGTTGTGTGTTGTTGTTGGTTTAGTGGTTGTTGCTGTTGTTTTGACGTTTCCAGTTTGGTGACTGTTGGTATTGTGGTTGTTGTTGTGATTGTCGTTGTTGCTGGTCGCATTGCTGCTATTGATGGTAGTTGTGCTTTTGTTGTGTCTGTTATTGTTTTTGTTGTTGTTATCGTGGTTGATGCCGTTATTGTTAGTGTTTGTATTGTCGTCGTCGTTGTTGCTTGTGTTGTGGTTGTTGGTATTGTTGTTCCGCTGTTGGTTGTATTATATTATGATGTTTTTGTTTGTTGTGCTTGTTCGTTGTTTGTTGTTCGCTCTTCGCTGTCAATTGTTTGTTGCTTGTCGTTTGTTGTTTGTTGTTTGCCGTGGTCGTCCCGCCCGCGACCCGGCCCGCAACCCATCCGCGACCCACCCGCAACCCACCCGCGACCCTCCTGTGACCCACCCGCGACCTTCCCGCAATCCACCTCGCGACCCACTCGCGACCCAGCCCGCGACCCGGCCGCGACCCACCCCGTGACCCGCCCGCGACCCACCCGCGACCCACCGCGCGACCCGCCCGCGACCCACCCGCGACCCACCCGCGTCACACCCGCGACCTACCCGCGACCAATCCGCTACCCACCCCGCGACCCATCCCGCGACCCATTCGCGACTTGCCTGCGACCCACCCGCGGCCCACCCCGCACCCGCCCCCTCACTCTTATCCGCATCTGCGGGATGCTACCGGCACACCTGCGACCCACCCGCTACACCCCGAGACCCACCACGCGACCCATCCGCGACACGCCCGCGACCCACCCGCGACACATCCTGCGCCCGCCCCCTGACTCTTATCTGCAACTGCGGGGTGCTACATGATGATTTTGACGACGATGATGATGATGATGATGATGATGATGATGATGATGATGATGATGATGATGATGATGATGATGATGATGATGATGATGATGATGCTGATGCTGATGCTGATGCTGATGCTGATGCTGATGCTGATGCTGATGCTGATGCTGATGCTGATGCTGATGATGATGATGATGATGAGGAGGAGGAGGAGGAGGAGGAGGAGGAGGAGGAGGAGAGCGAGGGTGAGGAGGAGGAGGAAGAGACGGAGAAGCAGGAGGAAGAGGCGGAGAAGCAGGAGGAGGAGGCGGATGAGGAGGAATACGAGGAAGAGGAGGGAGGGAGGGAGGGAGGGAAGACCAGAGGGAGCGAGGGAGCTCGCGCGCGAGATGCGCGGCCCCGTTGTGCGTGGCGGCGTGTGCCCGACCGCGGCGCGTGCGCGTGCCCGGGCAGTCACCCCACGGCGGCCTCGGCCAGGGCCTGCCGCACTGGGCCGGCGGCTGCGGCTTCGGCCAGGAGGGCCCCAGCGGCGCAGGCGGGAGCGCCCCCGCCGCGGCACTGGGGGGGAGGTCGCGGCGGCCGTTTGGGTGTGGTGGCCTTCGGCCTCCGGAGGCAGGGTGCACTCGTGGAGGTGGAGGGGCCTGTCTTCCACCACCATGTGCCATGAGGTGGAGGGGGAGGGGGTCCTCCTCCTCCTCCTCCTCCTCCTCCTCCTCTTCCTCCTCCTCCTCCTCCTCTACCTCCTCCTCCTCCTCCTCGTCCTCCTCCTCCTTCCCCCCATCCAACTCATGGTGGTGATGGTGGAAAACAGGCCCAGCACA